GAAGAGGCTCGACCGAGACAGCAATCTCAAGCTACAGTACGAAGAACGCATCGAGAACCTCTTCAACTCGGGTTACGCAGAGCGCGCGCCAATGCCACCGCCGCAAGGAAGGACATGGTATCTGCCACATTTCCCAGTCATCAACCCTGCGAAACCGAACAAGCCGCCGAGATTGGTACACGACGCCGCAGCGAAGACAGCCGGAATATGTCTCAACGATATGCTTCACTCGGGGCCCGACTTATTACAATCACTGCCCGGAGTGATCATGAGGTTCCGACAGTATCCGTATGCAGTGAGCGCCGATATAAAAGAAATGTTCATGCAGATTAAAGTGCGCAAAGAAGATAGAGACGTTTTACGTTTCTTGTGGAGAGGCAAGTGGCGGGAGGACCAACCGGAGGAATATAGGATGACGTCAATCATCTTTGGAGCGACATCATCACCATGCACAGCATTATACATCAAAAATAAAAATGCTGAAGAACATGCAGAAGCGTACCCAGAAGCTGCGGTCGCCATAAAAAGAAACCATTATATGGACGACTACTTGCAGAGCTTCCACTCTGTCACGGAAGCTCAGCAAACAGTAAAAGCAGTCGATCACGTCCACAAACAAGCGGGATTCGTACTCAGCGGGTGGACATCGAACGAAGAAAAAACAATAGAAGAAATAACGACAGAGCATAGACAACACGACGCGACCGTGTGCCTGGGCGGAAAAGAAACTGAGAAGACGCTAGGGCTGCTCTGGCATGTACAAAGCGATCATATTGGATTCAATACTAACAATATGAAGATGCCTGCCGACGTAAAAGAAAAACAACGCTTGCCAACTAAACGAGAAGCGTTGAGCGTCATAATGGCATTATTTGATCCGCTGGGGTTAATATCACCGGTGACCACCCCAGCGAAGAGAATATTTCAAGACACATGGCGTTACAAGGCGGACTGGGACGACCCTCTGCCAACAGAATTAAAAGAAAAATGGGAAGGCTGGATTACTTCACTTAACGCCATAGAACAACTAAGAATACCGCGATGCTACGATTACAACCCGGTGTCGACGCGCCAACTACACACATTCGTCGACGCAAGCGAGGAGGCCTACGCAGCAGCAGTGTATTGGAGAACGGAGCGAGCAGACGGCAGCGTTAACATATCATTGGCCGCCGCCAAGAGCCGCGTAACACCACTGAAACCAGTTTCCATACCACGGCTCGAGTTACAAGCGGCACTGCTGGGAGCTCGTCTTGCGCAGACCGTGATCGATGAACACGATTGCGACATAGCAGGCAAGACATACTGGTGCGACTCCCGTACTGCACTGGTGTGGATAAGAACGGAGCCTCGCGCGTACAAAGCTTTCGTCGCTCATCGCCTGGCGGAGATAGAAGATACGACCAAAAAGAACGAATGGCGTTGGCTACCGTCTAAAGAAAACGTGGCAGACGACGCAACCCGAGCCACACCAGAAGGGTTCGACGAGTCGCACCGATGGTTCCGAGGGCCCCCGTTTCTGCAGCGTCCACCGGCCGAATGGCCGCAGGAAGAGAAAACGACACAATATGACACCGGGGAAGAGCGAGAAATATGTAACATCGCTGTTAAAAGTGAAGACTCGACAACAACACATCTTCCACAGATAGGAAGATTTTCTAAATGGATTCGCCTCATAAGGGCGACAGCGAGAGTCCTCCTATTCATCGACATGTGCAGACCAAACAAGCACGTAGTGAAGGCTGGGCGTAAACGCAACAAAGCAAGACAAGGTAGCGACCCTGGCTGGCAGAGAACAAACAAACGCAACACCCCCGCCAAGGAGAAAAAGGCGACTCCTACTGCCTCATCGCTTGTAGGAATACCGGCCGCTTATCATATGAGAGCCGAACAACTGTGGGTGCAAGCCAGTCAGCGGGAAAGCTTCACGAAGGAGCTCAAGAGAATCACCAGCGGAAGTGTTCCGGGAGGCGACGACAAACTAGGCCACCTGAGCACATACATTGATGAAGAGGGGACCCTACGCCTGAGAGGTCGAATAAAAGCGGCATCAGAAGTGGAGGACGACATGTACGACCCTCCCATATTAGACGGGAAGCACGCATACACTCGCCTGTACATAGCACACGTACACGAGAGGCTGCATCACGGAGGCGTAGAAACAGTTGTGAATGAATTAAGACAGAGATTGTACGTAAGAAAAATACGTCCAGTAGTGAAAACTGTCGTCAAAGGATGCCTGCCGTGCCGTCTAAGAAAAGCCAAGCCTGCATCACCGTCTACAGGAAACCTGCCGTCCGCACGCCTCGCTCATCACGCACGTCCGTTCACATACACCGGACTAGACTACTTCGGGCCAATAGAAGTCACAGTGGGACGACATCGCGAAAAGCGCTATGGCGCGTTATTTACCTGCATGACGTCGCGAGCAATACGCATAGAAGTAGCCCACTCGTTGAGCGCAGACTCAGCCGTGTCGGCACTTAGGCGTTTTATGAGCAGAAGAGGATGCCCAAAAGAAATATGGAGTGACAACGCTACGTGCTTCAAGGCAGCAGACAAGGAGATGGCCGAAGCAGCACTCGCAGCCCTCGAGCACGAAACCACGTGTCAACAGATTGTGTGGAAGTACATACCGCCATCAGCACCGTTCATGGGCGGCGTATGGGAGCGAATGGTTCGCTCCGTAAAAGAAGCCCTACGCGTCACCCTCAACGAGCGCTATCCCAGCGACGAAACATTGGGGACCCTGCTCGCCGAGGTCGAAAATACTGTAAACTCCAGACCTCTCACACACGTCTCAGTCGACCCAGGGGACCCGGAAGCCATCACGCCGAATCACATCCTCATCGGTCCCAACTCGCACGTACCTGCGCCGGGACACTTCAGCAAGAATGACGTGACGGCCCGCCAGCAATGGAAACGAGCTCAAGCCCTAGCCGACGTGTTTTGGAGAAGATGGGTTAAAGAATACCTGCCCCTACACCAACACCGGCGGGAGCCCAGCAGCATAGGAGTATCGCCGAAGATTGGAGACCTAGTCATCATTTGTGACTCCAATCTACCACGCAACACCTGGCCCAGAGGGAAAATAAGTAAGGTATATCCTGGCGTCGACGGAGAGGTACGAGTAGTGGACGTAACCACCGGCAGTGGGCACATACTAAGAAGACCAACGAAGAAGATCGTCGTGCTACCAGAGGGATCGCAGCGTGGCGACGGCGGGAGAATGTGCACGACGCAACAATATTAAACAAACGAAAGAAAATGCTTATTGTAACCGGCGCTAGTTGAACAACCTAGGAGCGGTGGGCGGAGCCATGACGACGGTGTAATTATCAGGCCACGCCTCTGGTTCGACAACTAGCAAGGGTTATACGGCGGAACTAGCGCAACCTTATGTTGAATTTAAATTATAATTTGTGTAAATAATTGTATTACTTGTATCGAACGATAAAAAAATAATGATTGTATTATAACTAAGTTTAAGGTTGAGTTGTAACTGTGCAATAACTCTCCCAAATAAAGGCACCGTATGAACAGGGAGAGTTAGCATAGGCTTCTAATGAAAAACTGTAATTGTTAAATATAATAAATGTTTACTTTATTATATAATAAATATATTAGGCCGTTAGGCACATAAAATAATAGTAGTAGTGTAACCAAAGAGCATGTTATCGTGACGCGGCCGCGGAGCAAATGAAGCCACGCGCACCGCGCCACGACGTTTTATATTTATAGTGCTGAGGCGGGGGGAAGGATTCTCCGCCTAAAGCAGCTGAAAATTATAATGTAAACCTGTAAATAAGTAAAAATATTGATATGTACACCCTAGTCTAACAAGTAGTTATAAGAATATTATATAGTGAATTATGTTTATTAGTTTGTAAGATTATTAAATAAATAAAGATAGGCGCGGGGGTGAGGCAAGGGTCCGCTGGCCAGCAGCGGCCAAATCATATAAAAGACGGGCCGGCCGCTAGGGTCAGCAGTCGCTCTCCAGCCACCGAAAAGGCACCAGCAAGAAAAGAAAAAGTACAAGTTCCTCCTCACCGCCGCTTGCCTCCAGTTAAAAGCAAGACCAGCGCGTTTTATTCCATTTTTCGCACGGCATTACGGCGATCCGTAATATAATGTATCCAAAAATATTGGCTAAAAAATTGTAAAAAACTTATGTTGTATTAAGGATAAAATTTGAATTTATGCCTTGAAAGTTTTTTGTTAACAAAAATTAAAAACTCAAAAAACTTTCAAGGATTAAACCAAATTGTTAACTCGAGCAATTTAACACGAAAAAAATTGAAAAACTAGGTATTCTCTTATAAGTTTGATAGATTCGAATTGTGTTTTGAATTTTCGGGTGTATTTACAACATACAAAGTGTTTACATATAAAAATAAAAAGTAGCTTAATTAAAATAATAACGCTCTAACTACTCAAATTTTTCAATCGATCTTTAGTTCTTGAAGTCTTTCTTTATAATAGGTCTAAAAATATGCAGGTCTTCGCTGAAACTTTTGAGATTTTCCACTTCTACTATTACCACTCGCAGGACACATAACAGCACACACTAAGGATTCGTACCATTTTTTTTTTGAATTTTCGGGTGTATTTACAACATACAACGTGTTTACATATAAAAATAAAAAGTAGCTTAATTAAAATAATAACGCTCTAACTACTCAAATTTTTCAATCGATCTTTAGTTCTTGAAGTCTTTCTTTATAATAGGTCTAAAAATATGCAGGTCTTCGCTGAAACTTTTGAGATTTTCCACTTCTACTATTACCACTCACAGGACACATAACAGCACACACTAAGGATTCGTACCATTTTGTCAGTGAGATAAAAGACCTATGTCTTACTGACAATGAAAGCATGGTCAGTTTTGATGTTCAGTCTCTATTTACATACCTAACTGTTAAAGACTGCATCTCAATTGTAACTAGAAAACTAGAGAAAAACAACATGCAAGCAAAATATACAGTATTACTCAGACATTGCTTACATCTGGCTATCTATTGTGGAAGGAAGAGTTTTACAAGCTAGTAGATGGTGTTGTGATGGGCTCACCGGTATCGCCCATTTTCGTCGATATGTTCATGGAGGACTTTGAGGAGAAAGCCCTCTTTACTACTACTACTGGACCTGTAACTCCAAGGTTCTATAAGCGCTATGAAGATGATACTTTCACAATTTTACCATCAGAAAAAGTAACTGCATTTTTAGAACATCTTAATTCCACTACCTCTAAAATTCTATTTACTATGGATTTAGAGTAAAATAATTCTGTAGCTTTTCTAGATGTGTTAGTAATCCGAAATCCTAGCAACACTAGTTCACACTGTGTATAGAAAAAAGACCCATACGAACCGATATTTAAACAGTGAATCTCACCATCATCCTTCTCAGTTAGCTACCGTGGGTAAATCTTTGGTACAGAAAGCGCAAAGGATCTGTGGCAGCAAACACCTGGCCGCCGAGCAGCACGTCAGGCAGATTCTGCACGACAACCTTTGGGTCCCGCGCCTACGTCACAGTGATTGAGTGAAGCCGACCACAGTCGAGCCTGCTGTACTACCATATGTTAGAGGTGTCACAGAGGAGATTGGCTACATCATGAAGCGAGATTCTATAAGAACATTCTTCAACGAAGAAGATTAGTCAGTTCTTACCATCCGTCAAGTGTAATATACCTCTACAAGATGTAGGAGTGTGCAAGCTTGATTATGAATGTAGTCTCTCATATATAGGACAAATAAAACGATGTATTAAAACCCGCGTAAAAGAACATATAGCTGACGTGAAACACCAACGTTCCGGGAAGTCTGCATTTTGTGATTATTTCCTAGAGTACACTTGCCATTACATTAGATTTGATAGATCAGAAATTCTTGCGAAAAACATCGATTCCTGCCAAGGATGATACGTGAGGCTGATGATATTGAAATTAAAAAAAGTTCTAATTCCAAAAGAGAAGGAGGCTGGGTACTACCATCTGCTTGGGATCCTGTAATTAATAAAATTAAAGCTAAGCCCAAGCATAAAATTGCAAGACTTCAAGACACAGTAAGTTCATTCTACGTAGATTGGACCAAAACAAATAATAAACAAGCTGAAGGTATTCCGGGTTGACTCTGACATCGGTATATCAATTATCTCAGTTCCCCGTGACTATGGGTGTTGGAAAGTATCCGAAATGTCAGGAATTAAATATTTCTATACTTAAACGTGATAAAATCCGTAATAGTAGTTTTATTCAAGAAGTGTGAATTGTCAGAAGAGGCCGTGTTAGAAATGAGTGTAAAATATTTAATGAAAATTAGAAATATTGAGGGTGGAACTGTAATATCCCACTCTTTCTAGCAGTACCAAGTATCGCGCAGGCGACTAAGAGGCATCAGTCGGTAATTCTACGAGTCTCATAGTCGTTATTATGTATGCCCTTGGGGTTAAAACATTACCTCTATACTGTGATTCTCCCTAAGTAACAATAACGACCTGGTTCTGTTCGTTACAGTAGTTCTTCTTGTGTAAGCAAGGAAGACCGTGTTGCTGAGAGACTGCCCTGTGTTACATTGGGATGAATAGTGTTGCTGTTGCTTTGCATACTTTGGTGTTATCATGTAATTATGTGCTTCACGTTACACCAATCTATTGGGTACACTCAAGCGGACTAGGAATCGAAGTAGCAGACGATGCTCATTTGATACTATACTCCATCGCTGGCTTGAATGTTTATTTCTGATATAATACTAATAAATGTTATTCAGAGCCCGTTTCCACTTGTCGGGTTTTGGGTCCGACGGGAAATCGACTGCTCTAGTGACAGTACATTTTATATGAAGTTCTTCACACTTATCCGATACAATATTTTTTGGTGCTGACAGAAAAAGTCGGGTGTTTTGCCAGCCCTCTACGTCCGTGAAAAAATCGCAACCAGTCTGGTTCGCCTATGAGTAAGTATGGCGCTGTTCATATTATGTCGGATGTCGGGTCCAGCAATCCTCTATATCACGGCGCACAAGCAGAGTTTTTTTTATTGTACCCAGCATATTATACACACGTTTGGTGTTTTGTAATAATGGAAAAGATAATATAAATTCTGAAGATTTGATCACACTCGTTCAGGAAAAAGGTTTTTTGTGAAAAATTTCGTTTCTTGTCTTTTTCTTTGTTTTCTTTTAAAATAATACATTACAACAAAAGCTTCGTCAACGTCCATCGTGTATAGTCACCTCGCATAGACTGCCAAAATGGCTTCAGCTTCAATCGGGTCCGACAACCGACTAGTGTGAACAGAGGCGTCCATACCCGATTAAAATATGTGCCAACGATCGTAATTTTGTAGCAGTTTCCAAAGAGTTTAATAATTTTAAAATTAAACAACGAATCCCTAATTAAATTTGACATACGCTCCTCACTTTGGCGATCTCTGGGAGCCTGAAGTTAAATTGACCTAATACGATATACGCAGAATATTAAGAGAAACACATTTTACATTCGAGGAGCTGTGGCCAGGATAATTAATATTATCCACCAAACTGACTTCTTAGTTTTCACAAATAGAGGTCATTATCAACAGCCGTCCATTTGTCCCACGAGTCCCTCACCTAATGATTTCCAGGCTTTAACCCCGGTTCACTTTTTGATTAGAGGGCCGCTAGCACCGCTGCCTTGCCGATGGCAAGGCAGCGGTGGCTTTGTGAAATGGCCCTAATGGCCTTGTTGAATTTAATACTCACCGTTTCCACCGATACCGAGCGCTTAGAGCAAGCTTGTCAACATTTTTGGAGACGATGGGCCAAAGAGTATATAGCCAAGCTGCAACAACGAACCAAGTGGCACGTCAAATCCTAGGTTGCAGCTTAATGACTTGGTACTATAAAGGACAATAGTAGGTACGCCTCCGTTATCCTCGCGTATAGAACGTGTCAGCAAACTGTTCCCTGGACCAGATGGTGTGAATCATGTAGTACACGTTTCCATCAACAGCATCGTGCGTAGAGCTCGAAATCTATATATAATATATGTAATTTTTTTATGTGGTAGGGCCATGCTGCAGCTATATTATGTATGTAGCACGGATGGGTTGGCTCGACCGGGGTGGGACCACGTTCTTACAGAACACCAGCGTAAAATAGCAGCTTAATGCTGCTGTGTTTCATATGCTGAGTGTAGAAAAACCGGAGACCCATTTTACTGGAAACAAGGCACTCCATCTTAGTCCTCAGGGGTGACAACGCATCTGCATTTTGATTCTTAATCGAGGGTAAAGGTAGATGTCTATGGGCCACAGCATCCACTTACCATCAGGTGGACTGTGTGCTCGTTTGTCAACCTTATTCCATAAAAATAAAATCGCCTGTGCCTACTTGCTACCCACCGATAAGAAAGTTGAAAGGTATCTCACAGCTTTGAAGGGCCGGGGGGATGTCTGCGCCGCAGACAGTTATAAACTTTAATTCATACGAGTATATTTATATCTGATTTATAATATATATATATATATATATATATATATATATATATATATATATATATATATATATGCATGTATCAGTCCTGCCAATGAGGTAAATTCAATTTTGCAAAAATTTTTCAAAAAATCAAGGACATGTGAAATCCACGGAGTCACTAAAGCATGTCCAAAAATGCCAAAAAATGCTAAATTACCATGTGGTGACGGCATCTGAATAAATCACCTGCTTTTATCACATGGTTGTCATAAGATCTGATAATAGAAAATGTTAGAAAGATATTATGACCTCCAATGCGAGGCAGCGTAATTATTTCGAGTGGAAGACGCAGGCAGATGTGACACAGTTTGTACTAGTATAGCTGGCGAAATTAACCTCTTAAGGTAATTGATGTTACTTTTTATTCAAATAGTGTAAGTTATGATGTAAAATATGTGGAGTGAATAAACAAATATTTATTATTATTATTATGATTATAATTACAGTCCCAAGCATATGGCAGCACCCAGCCGTCTTCTCTACTGAAATTAGGATGTTTTTTGATTTCAATGTCCTTGCGAATCATCCTTGGAAAGCGTTTTATTAAATCTAATATAGTGACGGGGGCGATCCTGTACGTATTCACAGACTAGATACTTCCCGGAGCGTTAATTTTTCACATCACCTATTTACTTTTTACGCGGGTTTTTATTGATATTTTGGTACTCGTATGTCCTATGTAAGATATACCACATTCACAATCAAACTTGTACACTCTTGCATGTTGCAGAGGAATATTAAACTTGACTGATGATAAAAGCTGACTAATCTTCTTTGGCGGCTTGTAGTATGTTTTATTGAAAGCACGCTTCAAGATGTAGCCAATATTGTCAGTAACAATTAGTACAGCAGGCACACGCTCGACTGTGACGTGGGTGCGGCACCCGCAGTTTGTTCTTGTGCAAAACAGATCCGTCGTGCTCTCTGAAACAAAGATTTTCTTACGGTGGCTAACTGTGAAGGATGGCGGTGAGAACCACCGCTTAAATATCTATTGGTATGGATCTTCTTTCTATACACAATGTGGATCAAGGTGTAATCGAGATCCGAATTAATAATAAATCTAGAAAAGCTAAAGAATTAGTTTCTCTCAATCCAGTGTGAATTGAAATTTGGAAGTTATGGCATTATTATAGTCTAAAAGTACAGTAACCTGATCAAAATTTAGAATTGTGAAAGTATCGTCTACCAACCGCTTGCAGAATCTTAGATTTACTAAGCTCTACTTAAAAAAATAATAACATCAAAACATAAATTTATATATATGTAAATTTTAATGTATTTATTATTCAAATGTTTGTTGCAGCTGTAGCCTCTTGGTGGACAAGAGGCTACAGCTGCAAATATTAACTAAAATATGCTGTGAACCACTCCCAACACAGGCATTAAAGCTTGTTCTAGCTACTTGTAGTTAATAACGGAGGTATTATTAATGCTAATAGCGTTAGTAAAATTCTTTTTGAGAAAAGCTTGATCTCAACAACACTCTTTATATATTCTGCATTAAGGACTAAGTCGACTATAGAAAAATTATACACTACCTTACGGTTTTCAAAGTACGAGTATATATTTCTAAAATACTTCTGTCTTCATTAGCTCTTACACGTAAGCGGACTTCTGGCAGATTTGTTAACTACGTGTAACATTTTATGATGTATGAATATTTTAAAATTTGCACCTATTTATCTCTGAACGATGAAATTTTATTTACCATGTTGGAATTAAAGTGGAACTTTATAAAACGTTGGTCAATCGAATCCCGTAAAGTCCAAGTATTTGTTCGTAATTGTTTCGCATCTTGATGTTTGTCCATGTGCAATTTATGTAGGTATGTAAAATTCCTAAAGTGGTGGCAGCCAGCGTTTATTTTTTTTTAAAGAGAAATATTGTCAGTGTTTTCAACTTGAATTTCCGTAGAATTCCGTAGATACTATTTCAAAATATCGCTGCAAGCTGCATATATAAGAAAAAAGTATCACAAAAATTTATTAAAAATTGGTTGTTTTCTTTTAATTAAATCAAGTTTAG